TATATTTCATGTAAAAAAATTTTTTTGTTTTAATACTTCTGGGTGTCAGGAACGGATTAATTGAATTTACATTATTTCTTATGAGGAAAATTGATTCGTAAATCGTCCATTTCGATAATAGTCCCACTTCCAGGAACAGATTATGGACGATTATTGAGGGACCACTGTATTACAATACTGCAGTAGTCTGCATAACAGTAAATCTTCTATTTTTTGTTTGAATAAAAGTTCAAAATAGAAAGCAAGAGTAATATCAGAGGAGCCTGGAGACGTGACTGATGAACAAAGAAAATGTTATTTTAGAGCCAGGAATATCTGCAATGTTCATTCTGGACCCTATTTTAAAATTGGCATATTTTTTAATTTGTGTGAAATTGGCCAAATTACCAATTTCTGACCACTTTATTGGGTAGCTGTAATCAGTAAATAGGCAGTTTCTTGTACTCAATCGATAGAACTAATGGAGTTCTAAAAAAATAGTTATGAGTTTGGTCAACTGGAACAATGAAATTAGCGGAAAATAGGGCTCAAAGTGGGCGAAATCACCGATTTGTAAATATCTCTGAGGTCGCTAACTTTGCAAGAGGGTAATTCTGTAAATTTTCCATCAAATTTCACACTTTTGGTGTCATTACCATCGGGAAAAGATTCTCTATTATTTCATTAGAATTTTTTTTTTTTTTTTTTTTTTAAATATTTTGCAACACCAGGAGACACCTCAGGATTTGGGGTTTCAACAGTCACAGGGTTAAAAAATACCTCCTAAATTTGATGTAACCTACAGAGATTAGATATAAGTATCAAATATATCTAATGGAACCTGCCTATTGAGATTCCAATCAGTATTGATATTCATGCACTTACTGCCACCTCTGTATTTCTTCCCCCAATAATCATGACTAAAACTGTCAGTACAATTTTGCATTACTATCTGTCCATGTTAATGCTGCTCTTGAAATACAGTGGAACCTTGGTATGCGACCTTAATTCATTCCAGAAGGCTGTTCGAGTGCTGCTCCATTTGAGTATCAAACAAGTTCCCAACCAATTTTCTGTTTGGTTGGCTGTTATCACTACTTGGCATAGACCCCATTGGATGTACATGCCAAAAGTCCCTTTATATGCAGAGCATTTCAGGCAAACTTAAGACTAACTTAAGATTAATAAAGTAATAACAGTGCAGTAATTTTGTACATATAGTCATTAAGTTATTTGCAATGAATACAAGAAAATTTAATATTCTATTAGTTCATGCTATATGGCTTTAATAGGTTTGGTAAAGAGGAATTACAGCTTTGATTATTAACCTAAGGTGGACACAAAGGAATAATTAACATTTGCGAAGATTACAGATATTGAGAGGAAGTATATATTGATTATAATGTTTTACGTATGTTCAAGATATTGAGCAAATGCATGTACAGTGGACCCCCGCATAACGATTACCTCCGAATGCAACCAATTATGTAAGTGTATTTATGTAAGTGCGTTTGTACGTGTATGTTTGGGGGTCTGAAATGGACTAATAACAGCATCACAATTATTTCTTATGGGAACAAATTCGGTCAGTACTGGCACCTGAACATACTTCTGGAGTGAAAAAATATCGTTAACCGGGGGTCCACTGTATTGTTTTTACATATGTAAAAACAATACATGTATAGGAGATAAAGTGTTTTCTAACTGTAGTTTTAAAAATGCTACCTGAGCCAGTGGTCCTGGAGATTTCTGGCTGGGAGTTCTATATTTTGAGCCCTTTTATATGCACCGAGTTTTTGAAAAGATTTAGCCTGACGCAGGGAATGTCATAGAGATTTTTATGCCAAGTATTGTGTCTATGGGTCCTATTGCAACTGTCAAGAAAGCGCTTCAGGTCAGGATTTATTTCAGAATTGATTGTTCTGTAAATGTAGGTTGCACAGTAGCACGAGTGAATGTTTTGTATAGCGAGTAGGTTTAGGTCTTTGAAAAGTGGGGGAGTGGGGGTGTTGCCTAGAAGAGGATTGTCTGATAATTCACACTGCAGCTTTTTGTTGGGTTATTAATGGCTTTAGGTGATTTGTTGTTATGGATCCTCAGGCACAAATAGCATAGGTGAGGTAGGGGTAGATAAGTGAATAGTATAGTCTAAGTAGTGCTGTTTGTAGTACATAGTAATGTATCTTTGAGAAGATGCCAACTGTTTTAGATGCTTTTCTTATATTTTGGATATGGGTGCTAAATTTCATTTTCCATCATTATGTTTAGCAATAAAGATGTTGTTAGGCACAATGTTTAGTTGGACCTCACTTGCTCTACTCCCAGACATAATGTAAAAGGTTTTGTCTATATCAAGTGTAAGTTTACTGACAGGCATCCAGGTTGCCATTTTTGCGAGCTTTTCGTTAACAACAATATTGAGTGAGACTAGAATAGAGAGATGACAAAAGTCGTGTCATCAGCAAAGAGAATAGGCGGAAGCTGTTGTGATACGCATGGAAGATCATTGATGTATAAAAGGAATAGGGGGGGGCCAAGAGCACTTCCCTGTAGTACACCAGTACCAGGAACTGTCTGTTTTCATTGCTCCCTGAGCTGTAGGCCACCCATGCCAATTTATTGTTTGTGCTCACTCACACATACACTTGTGATTCAGTCTCCAATTTTCTCTGGATTTATAGTGTTTTGCATGACTTTATTAATATATTAAGTAAGGTACAATTAATAATAGCAGGGTAAAAGTGTGGTTCTCAGTGTTATACAGAAACTGCAACTTCGTAATAATGAAGGTTGAGTTTTGTATCTCAGTAGCGTGTCTTCTCGGTCATCAATGCCTTCTCTACTTTCTCTTTTATTCAAATTTGCTCATTAGATTTCCTCACTCAAAAATGATCTCTCTCTCTTTTTGGACAAACTGCAGGATGACCAATATAAATGAGGTTAAAGCAAAATTTTGAGAGATGTGGCTTCTGAAACATAAGCTGATCCCAAATCTGAAACAAAGCTTATCATATGAACAAAATTCAGAAATACAGCCTCTCCTCACTTAAAGATGGAGTTCGTTCCTAAGACAACGCTGTTAAACAAATTCGTCGCTAAGTGAGGAGCATACTATCATGGTAGTTAGTTTGTGTCAATTATCTTTGGAATTGTTTTAACCCTTTGACTGTTTCGGTCGTATATATACATCTTACAAGAGAATGGGGCCATGTGGTCAGTGTGCACCATATAAAAAAAATCCTGCAGCACGCAGTGCATAATGAGAAAAAACTCCGACCTTTTTTTTAATTAAAATGCCGACATTGTGGTCTATTTTCGTATGGTATTTATGGGTGTATTCTCGTTTTCTTGGTCTCATTTGATAGAATGGAAAACATATTATAGAAATAGAAGTGATTTTGATTGGTTTTACTATGAAAAGAACCTGGAAATGGAGCTCAAAGTAGGGGAAATGTTTGATTTTTGCCAATGTTCAAAAGTAAACAAATCATGTCATTTTCCAATAAATGTCCAAGTAGCCATTCTAATAAGCAGTCATGAATGGGTTGACATTATTTATACAATTATTACAATATTGCAGTAGTCTGCATAACAGTATTTCTTCTATTTTTTATTTGAATAAAAATTCAAAATAGAAAGCAAGAGTAATATCAGAGAGGACTGGAGACATGACTGATGAACAAAGAAAATGTTATTTTAGAGCCAGGAATGTCTGCATTGTTCATTCTGGACCCTATTTTGAAATTGTCATATTCTTTAATTTTCATGAAATTGGCCAAATTGCAAATTTCTGACCACGTTATTGGGTAGTTGAAATCGGTAAATGGTCAGTTTCTTGTATTCAATCAATAGAAAAAATGGAGTTCTAAAAAAATAGCTATGAGTTTGGTCAACTGGAACAATGGGATTAGCCGAAAACAGGGCTCAAAGTGGGCGAAATCGCCGATTCGTAAATATTGCTGAGGTCACTAACTTCGCAAGAGCAGTAATTCCATCAGTTTTTCATCAAATTTCGTTCTTTTGGTGTCATTACAATTGGAAAAAAATTCTCTATCAATTCATAAGAAAAATCACTTTTTTTTTCAGAAATTTTCCAACACCAGGAGACACCTAAGGATTTGAGGTTGCGACAGTCAAGGGGTTAAGGTCACCTTTGCACCATTTATAAAATCTCTGATATATTTTTTAATGTTTATACAGTAGTACATTGTATATTGAAATAAACAGAGGAAATCAGCTCTAATATACATTATTTAGGTACAAATACTGGTCAGAGAGTCCGTCGTAAGTCCAAGGCACCAGTAAACAGGTACATTGCTAAGTGAGGAGAGGCAGTACTCACCAATTCTTATTTCACGGGGCCCTCCAGTTTCAAGTAAAGCCTCTCCTCACTTAGTGACTTACTCGTTTACCGATGCCTCAGACCTACAACGGGCTCTCTGACCAGTATTCACACCTAAAAAATGTATATTAGAGCTGATTTCCTCTATTCTGTTTATTTCAATATACAGTACACTACTGTATAAACATTTAAAAATATACCAGAAATGTTATAAATGGTGCAAAGGTGACATTAAAACAATATCAAAGATGGCTGACAAACCCACTACGACTATAGTATGCCCCTCACTTAGCGACGAATTTGTTTCACAATGTGGTCTCAGAAATAAAACTCCATCGTTAAGTGAGGAGAGGCTGTACAGTAGAACCTCGGTATATGACTCGAACAAAGCTCAGCACTTGACCAAACAAATACAACCTGCCAGAAATTCGCTGTAATTTCTTTCGTGCTTCTTCGCATTTATTCTGTTTTTTTGTATTTGTATAAATAAGTCACCATGGGGCCTACGAAGATTAGTGATAACAGCCAACCAAACAGAAAATTGGTTATGAAGAACTTGTTCGACACTCAAATGGAGCGACACTCGAACAACCGTCTGGAATGAATAAAGGTCACAAACCGAGGTTCCGCTGTAGTTTATTCTACATGATACTGGATATGTAATGATCATTTTACTAACCTTTCTCAGAGTCTGATGATAATGATGAACTGTTTGGTGTTCCTTTACCCCGAACTTCTTGCTTATCTACAACAGGAGCCACAAGGATGGTGCTACAATTCGACAGCACTAACCGTCCATGATGAGAATCTTCTGAGATTTCTGAAGAAACTTCTAGTTTTCCAAACAGTTCACCTGGTCGAGAATATTTTGCAGTAGCGGCAGTCGAAGGCAAAAGCAAATAACTACTTGTAATTTGTAGAGTGGTCTTGATATTAAACCTGGCAACTAAGTCGAACTGGGCCAACTCCTCAATGTTTAAAAGATCGTGTAACCTGCTTTGGTAGTTGCTTTTTGTAGGGAATTTTTCCATTGAAGTCTGAGTTAAAACAAAGTTTTCATTTGTAGGAGCCGGGTATGCAGCCAGTATTGATTTGTCATGCTCACTAAATTCATGAGGTTTAGGATCAAAAGGAATTATTTCCACATTCTCTTCACACCATCTTTCGCTTCTGGTAAGTATTGTACGTTTGGTTTCCAAAAGAGCACTGAGATCCTCAACAGGAATAACATCCACACACAATCGCTGCATGAGAACTGGTTCACTACCAAAGTCAAAGATAACTGCTTGCCTAAATGTTCCATAAATCATAGTTCTAAAACTAATGGTAACTTTGTATTCGTACCCTGATGGCTCTTGATATATCAAAGCCTCTGCGTCTATATTCACCCACTCCTGATTATTTTCAGGTTCATTCGATTTATGGATATGGCGATGGCCATCAATACGAGTTACTTCAGAAATAGTGAAGTGTGTTCGGTGAGCATCGTGAAGTAGCGAGACGACCCGCAATGGTGTGACAGTGTGCAGGCTGATGACCCACTCATGACTGCTGGGTTTGTGTGACACCCGCAGGTTAGGTTCCATACTGATGCCGGTTATGATTCCATCACTCTTAAAGGAAAAAAACATTCACAAGTTCATTACAGGAATTACTGCACAAATCACAACTCCTCTATTAACCCTTTCAGGGTCCGTGCCGTAGATCTACAGCTTTACGTTCAGGGTCCAAACCGGAGATCTACGCCATGAGCTCAGCTCACTCTGATAAGCTGTGAGTGGTAAATTTGGGCCTAGATATGAGAGAATACATCTATGTGGTATGTGTGCACCACATAAAACAAATTCCTGCAGCACACAGTGTATAATGAGAGAAAAAAGCTGAGACCGTGTTTTTCGATTAAAACAGCGACTTTGCAGTGTTTTTTCCTATGTTTTTTATAGTTGTATTTGCGATTCCTTGGTCTCATTTGATAGAGTGGAAGACACATTACAGAAATAGAGATGATTTTGATTGGTTTTAGCACTGGAAATGGCTTGAAACTGAGCTCAAAGCAGCGGAAATGTTAAATTTTTGCCGATGTTCAAGAGTAAACAAACGACCTCACACGTCTAATACACGCCAGCTGGTGGGTCTATTATACATTCACAAATGGGTGATGATATTTTTAAAAATTATTACAATATTGCATAACAGCAAATCTTCTATTTTTTGGTTTGAAAAAATTCATTATGTGAATAAAAAATCAAAATGGAATTCATTTGTAAAGCCTCAAAATGTAACTAATGAACAGAGGAAATGTTAGTTTAGTTCCAGGAATACCTACATTGTTTATTCTGGACCCTATTTTGAAATTGGAATATTTTGAACTTTGTGTTAAATTGGCCATATTACCAATTTCCGATCACTTTATTTTGTAGTTGAAACAGTTGACTTGGTGATTTCTTGTGCTCAATCGATAGAATAGAAGTAATACTAGTGAAATAGCTAAGAATTTGGTCAACTGGAATAACGTAATTGGCCTAAAATGGGAGTCAAAGTCGGCAAAATCACCGATTCGTAAATATCGCTGACACATCAAAATTCGCAAGAGCATAATTTCGTCAATTTTCCATAAAATTTCGTACTTTTTGTTTTATTACCTTCACAAAAAGATTCTCTACCAATTCATAAGAAAAAAATAAAAAAAAATTTGAAAATTCCTGGACCCTGGTGCACACTTTGAAATTTGGCCTCTGGACCTTGAAAGGGTTAAGATTTTTATTTTTATTATAGTCATGTGGAAACACTAAACCCACAGGGGTTATACATAACAAAAATTACTAAAATGCAAAAGAGATTTTCAGTCTGAATAGAAATTGCAATAAAAAAAAATTCACATAAAAATGCCAACGCAAGAACCCCATAAGGATCAGTATTTTCCCCAATAATATTTATTACATCATTTATACTGTACAAAGAATTTAAAATGAAATAAAACAATTCATAGGAGCATGTTTCCAGAGATGCAAAACCCTATAAACAAGAAGTTACAAAATTACCTGAATATTTATACAAGATGACCTGAATAAATTGAGGAGAAACAAGAAACTGATGGATGACAGAATTGGTTGTAGGTAAGTACCATATAATGATAATTAGAGAAATCAGTAACAGGCCATGTGAAGAAAACTGTGACAAAATATTGCATGTTATACACATGCTACACTGGGAAATTTCACTATAGCCTTCAGGTTATTGTATACGTTATGAGAATACTGACAAGTTGTAGTTGATTAAGACACACAAGCAGATATTGGAAACTTAAGTTGCCACAAAAGTTTTGCCTTCACAGCAGACTTTATCATGTCTGATCAGACTTGGTAAATCCTGCTGAGCAGGAAAAACTTTGTCTTAGCTAAAGTTTCCAATTACTGCTTCTGTGTCTTTATAAATGGACAGTATACATTAGAAAAAAATTTGAATATGTAATCTGTGTAGTGTTTGTACCTAAATAACATACAAAGACATGCTAAAAAATTAATAATCAAAGAGCTATGAAGTGTGGTTCAGAGTGAAAGATTGAAAACATTAAAAATGCCATCAATTGTTGATAAGAGAAAAAAAAGATGAAAAGAAGACATAATAGCCACATAAAAATTTTACAGGAAACTGAAAAATAAATGAAGATTTCTTTGTGCAAACAAATGGGAAAATAATAGCCTACAATTGTAGTCAAAAGAAAAAAAAATCAGCACAGAAGGAAGATTTTCCTCACAAAGAATAGTAGAACACTGGAAGAGTATACAGTACTATGTGCTAGTCATCAGAAACCTTAAAACATTATAGGATAAATTAATCAAAAAAGACAGGATACCACAAGTATAAATTTGCAACTTTTACCTTTTAACTACTGTACATTTAAACAGATAATCACAACACATAATTAATCATATGGAAAGGTGGTATCAACCTTTCTGCAATTATTAATATATATATATGGCGCTAAACAGAATGCAATCTTCACACAGCAAAACAAAAAATTTTCTGGAAAAAGTCAACTTTTCTTAATCAGGGTGTAGAACTTTATGATAAAATATACCTTTTCAGAAAGCAGTGCATCATGATGCTGTGTCTGTGAAAGCCTCTCCAGAAGTTGATCAGCATAGGAAGCACCATGCAGCTGTTTCTCCCTTGCTCGTTCAAGTTTCATAGCCCGATATTCAAAACGCTCCTGCCACTCAACAAGCTCTGCATCACTGTGAGCTTCTATACACTGGTCCCCCAAGCGGCAAGTGTGTGTGTCCTTGTAAGTGGCACAGAGCATGTATTCATCTGCACTTAGTCCCCGGGGTGGTGGTCGGTGAGTCCAGTCTCTGCCTTCATCTGACATGATAGTGGTCTGATGATCCTGACTTCTGCAGTGGGTCTGAAGCTCCACCTTGGTGCTGAAGTAGACATTACAGTAAGAGCAGTGAAGACGAGCTGGAGGAGACTTGTCTTTCCTTGCATGGCCCTTCATGTTTGGTGATATAGGCTTGTCACTCTTTTCAAAATTTTCTAAAGCCATTTCATTTTCCACATCAGATTTAGGACTCCTTGATTTTTGCCGAATTCCTTGCATCTCTCTGTGATTTTCCTTTTTCTTTTTCTTCCACTTTTGCTTTGAAGTATTCGCTAAATTAGGGGCTTGGTCACTGGTTGAATCTAAATGGTACTTCTTAGATTTTTCCATTTTAAAATTAATTGGCTTTCCATTCAAATTAACACTAAAAGCTTTTGCTCACTAAGCAACAAATCAACTATTGCAATCAATTTAAACAAAATAAAATGAGAAGGAATTTTGAAGGTATGCAATTTGATGCTGTAGGAATGAAAGAATTCAGAAATGTATTTAAGAATCGACTGTATACAATACCAATCATATACTGCATGAGTGTAGAACAAAGGTATAGCAACTTGAGTAATACAGCAGCAGCAATGGAAGAGGTAAATAGTTTATTATTGTATAAAAATATATAGTAAACCATGAACACCACTCGTATTTCTTCTTTTTTCTCATTAATAAGTTTCGTACAAATCCAGTCTGCCAACACCTGAAACACAAAAACAAAACGTAAATGTTTATTTAAAAATGCATACCAAAAAAATATAAATAATGCAGATATTAAAAATTACTTTAAAGAAGAAAAGTAATGAAAAGTACAGTATACTTTATTTAGAAAAAAATTCAATGACAGAGGCCATTACATTAAAAATATGTCAACTAGTGTAAAAATATGATTTTGCAATATCTTGTTAACTTCCTTTCTTAACACGTCGGCCGTTTCCCACCGAAGCAGGGTGACCCAAAAAGAGAGAAAAAACTTTCATCATCGCTCAACACTTTCACCATCACCCATACATAATCACTGTCTTCTCACGCACTCAGATACAACAGTTTAGATGTAATTCCACACTGCCAATACCCTAAACCCCTCCTTTAAAGTTCAAGCACTGTACTTCCCATTTAAAGGACTCAAGTCAAACTAATCAGTTTTCCTGAATCCCTTCACAAAATATTACCATGCTCGCACTCCCAACAGTTCATCAGGTCCCAAAAACCATTCATCTCCATTCACTCCTATCTAATATGCTCACACACACATGGTGGAAGTCCAAGCCCCTTGCCTACAAAACCTCCTTTACTCCCTCCTTCCAACCTTTTTGGGGATGACCCCTACCCCACCTTCCTTTCCCTACAGATTTATATGCTCTCCAAGTCATTCTACTTTGTTCCATTCTCTCTAAATAACCAAACCGCCTCAACATTCTCTCTTCAGCCCTCTGACTAATAACTTTTAGTAATGCCACACCTTCTCCTAATTTCCACACTATGAATTCTCTGCATAATATTTACACCACACATTGCCCTCAGACAGGACATCTCCACTGCCTCCAGCTGCCTCCTCACAGCAGCATTTACAACACATGCTTCACACCCATATAAGAGAGTTGGAAGAACTATACTCTTGTACATTCCCTTCTCTGCCTCCACGGATAACGTTTTTTGTCTTCACAGATACCTCGAAGCGCAACTCACCTCTTTTCCTTTATCAAATTCTATGGTTAACCTCATCCTTCATAAATCCATCTGCTGACAAGTCAACTCCCAAATACAGCCTCTCCTCACTTAACGACGGAGTTCTGTTCTTAAGACCATGCCGTTAAACGAATTCGTTGCTAAGTGAGGAGCATACTATAATGGTAGTGAGTTTGTGTCAACCATTTTTTAAAAACCATTTTTGTAAATGGTCCAAGTCAGACCGAAACGTCGTCGTAAGCTCCTCTCTTCTATGTGCGGGTTATTTGTGTATGAACCATTTTTTAAATTGTTTTAATGTCACCTTTGCACTATTTACAACATTTCTGGTATATTTTTAAATGTTTATACAGTAGTGTACTGAATGAAAATAAACAGAATACAGGAAATCAGCTCTAATATACATTATTTAGGTATGAATACTGGTCAGAGAGCCCGTCGTAAGTCCGAGGTGTAGGCAAACGACTATGTTGCTAAGTGAGGAGAGGCTGTATCTGAAAACATTCACGTCTTCCATACTCCCTCCCCCCAGTGGGATATCCAATTTTTCTTCATCTAAATCACTTGATACCCTCATCACCTTACTCTTATCTATGTTCGCTTTCAACTTTCTACCTTTGCACACCCTCTTAAACTCGTCCACTAACCTTTGCAACTTTTCTTTAGAATCTCCCAAAAGCACAGTATCATCAGCAAAAAATAACTGTGTCAACTCCCATTCTGTATTTGATTCCTATAATTTAATCTCACCCCTCTCCCCAACACCCTAGCATTTACTTCTTTTACTACCCCATCTATAAATATGTAAAACCACCATGGTGATATTACGCATCCCAGTCTAATACCTACTTTTACTGGGAAGTAATCTCCCTCTCTCCTACACACCCTAACCTGAGTCTCACTATCCTCACAGAAACTCTTTACAGCATTTAGTAACTTACTACCTATTTCATACACTTGCAACATCTGCCACATTGCTCCTCTATCAACTCCATCATATGCCTTTTCTAAATCCATAAATGCAATGAAAACTTTCCTGCCTTTATCTAAATACTGTTCACATACAGGAAGGCCCCACTTATACGGCTGGTTAGGTTCCAGGCTACCGCCGTAAAGTGGAAACCGCTGTAAAGTGGAACACCCTTTTTTTCCATTTACAAATGCATACAAACACTAGATAACAAGTTTACACTAACATATATTAAGTTAGCAATAGAACCAGGCATCAAAAAACAATAAAAAAGTACAATACACACATAGTGCACTCGTTACTTCCCTTAAAATATTTAAAAGTCTTAATCTAGGGTGAGACAAGTAGTATTATTGTAAGAAATCAAGTGTGGTATGTATGGTAGTCAGCCAGGCTACCATACCAGGCCACCCCACCCACACATACAATTCTATGATATTTAAGCACCCCAGAGCGAAAAAAATGTATATACATTTCACTCATTACTTCCCTTAAAATATAGGGTGAGATGAGTATATTTATTGTAAAAAATCAAGTGTGGTATGTATGGTAGTCGGGCCGGGCTACCATACCAGGCCAACCCACCTACACATAATACGTATTTATTACATTTAAGCATCCCGAGCGATAAAAATGTATATACATTCACTCTTTAAACTTACCTTAAAATATTTGTGATTGTAGTCTTAATTAGGGTCAGGAGTAAGTAAATGAGAAAAAAACGAATAAATGAGAGAGAGAAAGAATGAGTGCATGAGAGAGGACAGGCGCAGAGTTATGTAACAAACCAGGCGAAGGTAAGTTTTGTAAACGAAGTGAAACACGTCTGGTTTGTGTAAAAGTTACATTGTGTACAGGTTGTCTCTACATTGATACGGTAGAATAAAATAAAAAGAACACTCCCATTCTCATGTAACATCATTTTGAGAAGAAATAATCTCTGAGTGAAGGCAATGGAAATAAGTCACTCTGACTTTTTTGGGTTATACTAGGTTCTCTACACATATGTGTTATGTATGATAATCTATGTAACTGTATTTGTGTATACCTGAATAAACTTACTTACATACATACAAAAGGAATAATTTTCTACAGTTACCCCCATAACCACATTTTTTTCTTATTTTTGATTAGAGAAAATGTTATTCTTGGCATCACTTGTACAAGTTATCTGGCTACCACATCTCATATTTATGTTTATTTATTCTATTGTAGGGTGTATTTATCATCTTTTTATGTTATGTATCGTGTTTATTATATAATTTTGAAAAAAATATCATGGATGAATTAATGAAAATGTGTATATTAACGTAATATACAACATTTAATGAGACTCGGTGATTTTTTTTTTTTTTTTTTTTTTCAACAAGTCGGCCGTCTCCCACCGAGGCAGGGTGACCCAAAAAAAAAGAAAGAAAATCCCCAAAAAGAAAATACTTTCATCATCATTCAACACTTTCACCACACACACACATTATCACTGCTTTTGCAGAGGTGCTCAGAATACAACAGTTTAGAAGCATATACGTATAGAGATACACAACATATCCCTCCAAACTGCCAATATCCCAAACCCCTCCTTTAAAGTGCAGGCACTGTACTTCCCATTTCCAGGATTCAAGTCCAGCTATATAAAAATAACCGGCTTCCCTGAATCCCGTCACTAAATATTACCCTGCTCACATTCCAACAGCTCGTCAGGTCCCAAATACCATTTGTCTCTATTCACTCCTATCTAACACGCTCACGCACGCTTGCTGGAAGTCCAAGCCCCTCACCCATAAAACCTTTACCCCCTCCCTCCAGCCTTTTCGAGGACGACCCCTACCCAGCCTTCCTTCCCCTACAGATTTATACGCTCTCCATGTCATTCTACTTTGATCCATTCTCTCTAAATGACCAAACCACCTCAACAACCCCTCTTCAGCCCTCTGACTAATACTTTTATTAACTCCACACCTTCTCCTAGTTTCCACACTCTGAATTTTCTGCATAATATTCACACCACACATTGCCCTTAGACAGGACATCTCCACTGCCTCCAACTGCCACCTTGCTGTGTCACTTACAACCCAAGCTTCACAACCATATAAACGTGTTGGTACTATACTATACTTTCATACATTCCCTTTTTTGCCTCCAAAAGATAACCCTTTTTTTTGTCTCCACAATTTCCTCAACACCCACTCAACCTTTTCCTCCATCAATTTTATGATTAACCTCATCTTTCATAAATCCATCCCTGACACATCTAAATCCCAATGTCTGAAAAATCACTTCTTCCATATCCCCCCAATTTGATATCCAATTTTTCTTTATTAAAACATTTGATACCCTCATCACCTAACTCTTTCTATGTTCGCTTTCAATTTCTACCTTTACACCCCACTCCAAACTCGTCCACTAACCCTTTGCAATTTTTCTTTAGAATCTCCCATAAGACAGTATCACAGCAAAAGTAACGGTCAATTCCCATTTTGTATTGATTTCCCCTAATTCAATCCACCCCTCTCCCGAACACCCTAGCATTTACTTCTTTTACAAACCCATCTATAATATATTAAACAACCATGGTGACTTACACATCCCGTCTAAGACCTACTTTTACCGGGAAGTATTCCCCTCTTTCTACACACCCAACCTGAGCCTCGCTATCCTCATAAAAATCTTAAGCATTTAGTAACTTACAACTATTCATACACTTGCACATCTGCCCCATTGCTCCCCTTTCATCTATCATATGCCTTTTCTAAATCCATAAATGCAAAAAAAACTCCTAAAACCCTTTTTCTAAATACGTCACTTATAAAAAACACTGAAACACTTAATCTAACATCCTACCCACTCTGAAACCTCCTTCATCTGCAATCCTACATTCGTCTTACCTCTAATTCTTTCAATTAAACCCTACTGTACACTTTTCCTGTATTACTCAGTAAAACTATTTCCTCTATAATTTTTACAAAACTCTTTTGTCCCCCTTCCCCTTATATAAAGGGCTATACATCTCTGTGCCTGTGGTTAACCTCTCGCTTCACACGGTG